ATACTTAGCCTGAGGACTGTCAATTAGCTAGCTCAGATATCGGAAATCCAATTAGCTGGAGGGAAGGTGGCAAACAGTTCAAGACTTGGCATATTCATTTATTTCATCTGCTCAGGTTACTCACATGTGCTTTAATGAAAGCTACAAAAAATACAAGAATAACACAAATTATAACAGATTATGATGCATGTATTCTAAGCAATCATTAAATGCCTGAGGATGCGGAGGCACTGCACTGCCTCCCACAATTATGCCACTCGACTCCCGTCCTTCATTTCAATTTCAAATCATCACATACGTGTAATGGAAACATAAATTAGAAATACAGTGTATTTAGAATATTTTCATTGAACAGTGAACTTTCAGCCTGCAAAAGTGTCTCAGCAGGATCTCATACAGACACAATCAAAATGTGAAGAAAAATAACAAACATAAACGGTAGTTGGCAAAATATTAGTACTTCTGCAAGCAACACAAGTTTCTGGTCTGGATACCCTGTTAATTCCCTGGGAAAAATAAGACATTTTATAGCAGCTTTTTTTTTTTACATTTTTATCCAGAAATTAGGACTGACTTTGTAGATAAGACGGCGGAGTCATCAAAATGTCCACTTAATTGGCTGGCTTTTGTATTAATTTCATTTCATATTGTATCAAAAACTTTAGTTGGGACCCAGAACTACATGTGTATGTACATGTATACACATGTAGCTTAGCCCAAAAAAAACCTATTCTGTGAACCGCCCATACACAGTCATGTGGTTGCTAAGGCAAATCATTGGTGTTGTTAGGCAAAGCTAATCCGATTACGTACATGTACTTAAATGCTATAATAGAGCAGTGAATTCCATGCACCCCAAAAAACATGGCCTTTTGAACATTGTGTTTCTCAGAAAATATGCTCAGTATGGTTGAAATGTTAAATTATAACGGAAGATGACATTCTAAACTTCATGTCAGTGAAAAAATCTTGGTCATCGATGCCGAAACGTCAATACTGGTTACTGGTAAAACTGACCTTAAAGTCTGGAAGAAATCTTTCGAAAACTTCCCCAAATGAATGTATTAACCTCAATTTCTAGGAATCACTCCAAGTTGTTATTTCATGAGTAGTTCAACACTTAGGCCTATATCATCTAAGAATATTCTGAATTTCAGTTTAATCTGTTGTTGCAAACGCTAGTGTACCAACTAGAACCATGGAAATTTCGACGAGGATTTTCTGCCGACACAACCGACGTGCATTGTTCAGCAAAGCGGCGTAGGTGCTACGGTTGACCGAGTGTGGTAGATTAGCATATTCATTAGCGTCACTCGGCGTGTTTTGGCGTGGGTCTCAGTATCAACCAATGGAAGCCGGCAAAAAGGGTGATATTTATTAATTAATTATAACTCGTGAAGGAGGTTTTTCTCCAAATTTATACTACATAAGATAATGAATAGGAACCTTTTTAATATTTGTGAGTCTTGAAAAGATTGACAGATATTGCAAACGCTAGTGTACCAACTTTCAGAAGTGCACGTAGCCAGGCCTATTTTTCCAATTTCAACGAAAAGTAATGAACACATCACAACGATTTGTAGCACATACTTGGATCATTATGAGGGAAGTAACCTAAAAGTTGCATGAAGATACGGTCTTCCAAACAGGAGAAATTAATTTTCAAAGATTTCGCCCACCAACGTGAACATACACGTATGTGTGTACATGTAGTTTCATTCAAAATGAAGTGTTACGTAACCTTTAGAAATCGCCCTTGGCAACCACATGACTGTACATGTACTGTTAACATGTACTTCTGGTTGTCAGTACCCATTGATACCCTGTGTATAAGATAGAGGAGGCAGAACCTACATGTACATGTACTCATAGAAATTAAGTAATTTTTTGCAATGTTTAGTCCAGTACAAAGCTCTTTTGCAATTTTTTACCTTGTGTGCCAGTTTACGTTTTTCATTATGAAAGCCACCAAACATCTACCAGTTCTTTACCTCAACAGTGGAATACTGTCGCCATGCAAATGCCAGCTGTACATATAGATCCATGCATGATGGATAACCTGTCAAATTGAACAAGGCAATAACATGCCATGCGTATCTAGGCTGGAAATATCAGAAGTTCTAAACTGTTGCACTTTGTGTGCATGATGAACCCAAAAGGTAATCATTGCACTACTAACAGTGAGATATGGTGGTGCAGACAACTTTGGGGTAAACTGCCATTAGGGTGTACATGTACATCATGTTCATAACTGCTCAAGCAGACTATAAAACTTTTTTTAACAAAAGCCATAAAACAAAATTTGAAAGGAGACAAACGTCCAACAATTTTGTTCTATCTTTTTACCCCACTTCTAATGCATGTTACACATCGTTTGCGCAGTGTGCTCAAAATCTCCTTATATGGCAATATCATAATCAGTGGTTCTCAAGCGGTACACATACATGTATTGCAGGCATGTTGTGCGGAGGGCAGGGTTTTGCCCGCTGTTTCAGACTGGTAGCGCTGACTGGTGTTTAAATGAGGTGTAAGACAACGCATGCCATGGGCTCTCACCCAGTAGATGGGGAAACTGTTTCAAGTATCAGACTTGTGTCTCAGACCATGACCCCTCCTCAATGAGCAAAGCTTCACTAATCCCCGCCCTTCCCCAAGTAACTTCCATAGATCTGACATTCTCTCGTTGGGAAGACCCATTTTCACAATTCCTCATACCTGTGTACAACTTAGTTCTGCTAATCTTATCAATGCATTGTGTTTGCAATACATCTTGATACGTGTACATTGTTGTTAAGGGGATTAAATATCAGATACTGGTAATCTTCAGGAATGTGCAAATATTACATGTACATTGCTGTGACACAGATCAAAGATATGCTCAAGAAGTTTAAATATTTAGTTTGAAGATTCATGTTACATTCTGAATGTAAGCATGTATTTTTAAAACTGACATACTTACATTGTTCTACATAACCCCCGAGGACAGACACACAAAGGCAGAACAACAGATCCTTTCAGTCCTCGGGAGTTGAGTCTTTTGTTGGAAATGGTCCTCTGTAGTACATGTAGGTTTGTGTGCTTAGGCTATGGGAGAGTGTTATATTACAGGGACAAAGAAAAACACAAAGCATTGTCGGGAGTAACAGTAAAACAAGAGAGTTCATTGTAATGGCTGGTAATAATGTACTTACTGAGCCAGTAGAACTATTACTCTGGATATCATCTGTTTAACATGATTAAAGGCTGACATGATGGCCTTTACAATTCAATCAGGTTGTGGCAACTACGTATCTCACAGAAATTGTATTTCTCTGAGCGCCCTACACGTCCATTTCAATGCTGAAAGATTCATACAGTACATTCTTTGTTCACGTAAAGACTGCTATAAAATAGTACTGTTTGAAAAGACCAGCTTGAAACATTTGGTCAGCTCACCATTGGCTACGTAAAAGAAGTTACCAGTTACCATGCTCCAACTTTACTTATTGCATGCAGTTCTCATGTGATGGCAAAAGTCACCAATGGTACATGCCCATAGATTGGTCATAGATCATCAGACATCTGTCTGCTCATTTGAACTTCATTACGTGTTTCTACCCATAAACGTCCAAAATAGTATCAACATTTGTCTAAAAAATAATTTAGAAAGTAATTTTTAAAAGCCAATATTTTTATATCCAACATTCCTAATCTATAAAACTTCAATTTAAAGAATAGTTTGGTCAAACAAGCATGCAATTAATGGGTAAAATATTAACAGGAAGGGGGGGGGGGCCTATTTGATATTACAAATCTTGCTATAGGAGATTTATCAGGGTTCTCAACTACTTTTGACACACAAAAAAGCCAGTGATAAAAAGTGGGTTATTGTGTATGTGTGTTTGGCAAATTGAAGCAAAAACAATCTGTTGTTTTCTTACATACTGTACAACTATAGGTCCAAAACAAAAGTTTTCAGTGTGGATCATTAGTTGTTGTTTTTCATGGTTAAAGTGTAGCCCCCATCTATGCTCTTAGTTCAAAAACAGAAAAAGTTTTACTTCCTTGTGAAGTTATGTAGTGTGTTTTAGCTTCAGTGCAGGTACCTGACTCTTGTCTATATTTGAATAAAGTGGTAAGCGGTCTCATTTTAATTCAGGTTCAGTCGTGGCACAGGTTTCTGTGTTACAGTGGGCATGCAATTTCTCTTCGGTGCATATTATCCATTATTATCTACATGTTAATTTACCCTGTGCGTGCAACAAATCTTCTGCAAATGTGCAGGTTGATGAATTACACACAATCTCAAGCTTGACGTCACAACATAATCTTTAGCTTTCTGAATTACCTTTGTAATTTTCTATGGAATCCAATGTCCAAAGCTTATTAATTGAAATGAAGGCAACGCCAAATCTTGAGTTGGAATCATCTAGAAGCCCACAACTTTCCAGTGACATTTGACATTGATGTACACAGTCTGATAGTAGGTTAAGTTTTGATGTGTATGCCATATCTGCTGGTTTGAAAGTGAACATACCGTACATGAACACATGTCATGTAGCAAAAATCTCATGCTCTCTTTTTTTATTTTGCTTAATTTTTAAACTATTGTAAAACAATAAGTGCTACTGCTTTTCCAACTTCTAAAGATTTTAGCTGTCCAGGGAAAGATAACACTCTGCCCATGGTGAGCCAGTGCATACATGTGTATGTGTGATATCAATTACCGGTATACATGTACACTATCTGCTCAGAATGGAGCCAACACAAGGCAGATACATGTACATGTACATGTCAATTTTATCTCCTCAAAATTTGCTCTTTAAAATATTAACTAAATAAGATAGGTTGCTAAATCTATACAAAAAGCAAAGCAACAACACGTGTGAACTTTTGAATTGGTACCTAATTCTATTTTTGTCATTGTTTTTTGTTGACTCCATTTCGTTACGAATGTCATAATCTTTACTCATCCTTTGTCCCTTCATCTTTCCACTTCATCATATGTCACCTCATTGTAGGAAAAGATCAAGGTAGGAAAGCAACTTAGTTTTTTAGTGTTATCACTGTATTTTGTGCTGTTTCTTTTGCACCACTGATAACAATTAACATCATATACTTTTGAAGAGAAAACAACATGTTTTTATTTGTACATGTAATGCGTATGGTTCAACCAGCACCACCCATTAGGCCAAGTAATAAAGTAGCCAGTTGATCGTCCAGGGTTTTCAAAAAAAATGAGGGCTTTTTAATTTTTTTATTGAAAAAGAGGCGTAAATAGCCAAATGTACATGATATGTGCCTTAAAAAGGAGGATCAGGCCCTTTTTATTTGATACCGGTACATTTAGTTGTCTACTAGTTGATTACCACAAAACCTTCTTAACATTAGTAAAGCTAGAAGCATCTGAACTTCTGAAGCATCTTTCAAAAAATGTTATGCCTGAAATAAAAGAATTTAAACAAATTGATGCGGCCTCAAAAAAAGGAAGCCGGCGGGGACGATCAACTGATATTTTTTTTACTTGGCCTTAGAATCACATGCACATTTGTGTTTACTTTCAAAATTCACTTGTGAATGTGGATACATGTATTAATAATCTGCTGCCGTGGCTGCAAGCATGGACATTGTTGAAATCAACGATGTACAAGTAATGCCAAAGTTGCATCTTGCATTTTTCATGTTCAATCAATAGGGTAAAACGTTTCTGAAAGTGAGGGATACCAAGGTGGACGGGCAAGGGAAACAAAAACTCCCCCCCCCCCCCCCTCCCCCCGCCCTTGACAAGTACTATTCAAATATTAAGTTTCATTGATTTTTTCAGTGGCATCACAATATATACAACTCATGTACATAAATCATAACATGTTTGTTGTATTTATTTGTAAACATTAGCCTGTTCATTATTATTTTCTATATTTCCGGTGTGGTTTTGTATACATTATGTACACTACAGTCCAAGTTAACGTCAAGAGTAGTGCAGAGTGTTTGATGGTGTATGCATGATTGTTTCAATATCTCTTTTGCTTCCAAGCCTTGTCTTCAGTTTCTTTGATGAATGTTTGCATTAGGGCTGTCCCCAATATACCGAATATTCCATCAGCATTGAAATATTCCAATAGTTTTTTGCCGGTTTGAATATTCAAAACAAAAAAATACACACGACTGCGATGTTATTTTAATCGTAAAGTTGTGGTGCTTTATTTTTATTGTCAGATAACACTTGTTTTGTCGATGGTGGTTCGGTGTTCCTTTCCTTTCAGCAGGTTAAAAAGCTTGACATTTTATAAAATATCTTCTGTAAAACACTCCAGCCATCCATATATGTGTAGATCGCCGCACACACAATTTAAACGGTGCACTTTGCATGCAACTTTTGACCGATGCAACTTTTGACCTTTTGGCACGCAGTTGCAGGTGGAGTGTGTAAAAGTTGATCAGAGTTTGGAATAATCGCATATTCGGTGAAACACAGTGCAGTCTAATCGGATACTCAATTATTTGAACAATGGCTGTCCATTTTTCATGCAAGTTCATGCATGCACCAAATGTTGCGCCGTTAACATGTACAAGTACATGTACATGTACTGTATGTTGTGAAGTGTATAGTGTAATTAATGAAGTATGTTTGCATGTCTGACACTGTGTGTGATGTTGTTATCCCTCTTGTAATAATGATGAGTTAAGCTTCGATCAAAATGCATGAGGGGAAATTTCATGAAACTGTCAAGCACACAAACTGGCTGAGAATAAAGATGTTTTAGTTCCAAAAATTGGTTAGATATCATTTACCTGCAGAAATACTATGTGGTATATATATTCTGTGTGAATGGTTTGTTGCTGATTTCTGCTCATTTTTCAAATTTACAAAAAGAGCATTTCTGCTTATACACAATTTCACCCTATATTCTTTTGTGTATATGTACATACTTACATGTACAACTACTCCTGAACTGTGAACACCATACCCCTTAATGTATTTATTTCACCAGCATTGCACGCAACCTTACAATATTTTTCTGTTTTAGATATTTGAATCGGTATTACAAAAGCATGTGTATTTCAGTCCAATATTTTCAGTTATGATAAATTATCGTGTGTTTTTTTCGTGACAGCTACGTATACCCCCAACATATGGCAGATCAGTTTGTGACTTGATCAGGTTATTGGAGCCAAAGGTTTTTATTACAGCAGAGTCACACTAACACAATAATTATTAAAGTCAGACCATGGAGGTAGAATCTACCTCCATGGTCAGACTAACTTTGGCAGTCTGCCAGAGTTGAATAATTTTAAATCATCAACCTTAATTCTGATCAAGTTGTGTAACAGCTTGAAAAAAAAAGTCCATGGATGTTAGTCTAATCTTTCGGGAATGTGCAAGTTTTTGCTTTAGATTGATGAATATGAAGTGCAATTATATTGTGTTCAAACAGTGACCATTGCTCAGCTATTATTACTGCCCACAGTGCAGAAAATATAGTAAATATATACATACACAGGCATAATGTACATGTCACTGAGAAATTATGAGGAACTACAGTACCATCCCTCATTCGAAAGAAGAATTTCCTGAATAAGTTGTCATTGAAATTCTGGGAATCCATATGATGACCCTGGTTTAATTCAGCCATCGTGTACATGAACATAGGCCAACATTGTGCTCAATCTGTTCAAATGGCCAACCCTTATAAATGTACATTTTATGAGTATATCAATTGTCATTTGTGCATTTTTTTTTTTTTCGTTTGAAGCAACGAAAGTGCTCAAAATCTAAAGAAAGGTGCTTAACAACTACATGAAACCTGATGAAGTTTTAATTCAGTGAAATGTTGTATATTCCGAGAAAATAATATTCTAGGATCTCGATTTCAATTAAAAGTTTCAATTAAAAGTCATGAGTTGAATTGTGCCTGAAATCAGCGTCCTGGCACTCGACCGACAAATTATAGCAACTGAGCGCACATGTGCATCGTGTCAACGTTTGCGCGCACCCATTCACGGCTTCGCCAAATTAAAAACCATTTACCAATGGAAATTTCCATTTTTCCCTACGCATCTTTGGAAATGACCTCCTTTTGTTTTCTTCAAAATGACAGCATATGTCAGAAAGAATAATTTCACAAGTGTACTTTTCAACAATAATTTTGTCCGTTTTTGGACAGCTGCAAATGATGTACTCTACCTTTAAATGCATGGAAAGCCTTCATCATTGCACATAATGAATTATTTTCATTGGACAACTTGACATGTGGCAAATGGATAATTTCCTCTGCTTTGTACATCTCCAGGATGCTGAAAAATGAACTTCATGATCTACGCAAGAAAGGTGCTGTCAACGCAGCTGATGAGAATGACAATGCCCGTGTCTGTATACGATGCCGTGAGCCACTGGGCTTGTTGTTCAACACCGGTGACAGCTGTCCAAAGTGTCAACACAAGGTGTGCAAGGCCTGCCAGGTGACACTGCCTAGTGGCACTCGCTGGCTGTGCTCTGTCTGTCACAAAAATATGTAAGTGGCTGTCATAGCAACCAAAAACCAAAGAAAATGGTAGATTAACAATGTTGTTGTAAAATTGAGTTGATAAACAAGCAGTGATGCTGTTAGGTTCGAAGTAAGAAGTCCCTATCACTTTGGACATATGAGAGCACAGAGTTACAACATGTCAATGACAACTTGGTATATGTAATTGCACTGAGAATTTACAGGTGTGACTCTGGCAGGGTCATACAAGAAATGGAGAATGATCATCACAGGGTTTCGCATTTCATTTCAAAAGTGCTCGTTAGGAAACAAGCTTTTCTTTTGGAATTTTTGAGCCGTTTTCTAGCTGCATTTGTCATCCTCAAAAGAAAGCTTTATGACTAGATACTCTTTTCTGATAATTGTTCAACCCACAATGTTGTATTTAAGTTCTGCATTTTACAAAGTGTCTCTTTCCAAAATCACACGTTGCCTGTTCCATCTAGAGACAGGTTGATGTGTGATTGAATGAAACCCTGGATACTTAATTGAAAAAAAAATTGAGTTATCCTGGGCTTAGCGTTAATAACAGCTGAAAAGCCAGTTCATAATGACTTCTGAAAATACAGGTACCATCATATAATTTACAGCCTTGTTAAACAGAGCCCAGTTTTTTTAAAGAAATGACTGGAAATATTTGAAGACAGGTACTATTCAGTATCTTGGCTGCGGACAAGCTGCCTTTGTTAACTGTGTGATGCACACTATAGCATGCACTTCTATATTAATTTAACAGAATATAAAATGAATTAATATGAATCGCAGGCATATCTCGAGACCTTGAACTTATCGTGTGTATTGTGCTCTGTGTGATTACTTGTGCCAGCCCAGGCCTTTTAATCACAATTCTTTTCAATAAACATGTACCGGTACATGTATGAATCTGTACAAGTTGAAGTGAGCCCTCTACTGACATGACTGGTGACATTTTTCTTTTCTGACAATTTTTTTTTGGGGGGGGGGGGGAAGGGGGTGGGGAGGGAATCAAGTTGCTTGCCACATAAATGGAAACAAAAAATCATTCAAAAAATCTTGTAATCGAGAATACGTCAGTACTTGTGAACAATCACGAGCCAATCCAAATAAAGAAATGGTAGAATTTAGACATTCTTACAGGAACAAATGTGTAGCATATTGTTATGATTGTTGTTTCCTCAAAAAGTTGAATTGCATTTGTTATAAGGTAATGGCAATCAAGACATGTCCACTTAGAATAGGGAAACTGTTTTACTGGTACGTGTGTACATGTACATGTACGGTATGTTGTTCGCATCACCAATGATGCTACAGATCTGTAGGTCAAAAGGACACATCTATCCCCTCTACATGGATCAATGCTTTGATGAACCATGCATAACTTCAGAAGCAATGGTTACAGAACCGCAGTTAGTTTTGCGGTATAGAACTTTTAACCATAAATACCGGTGGTTGGGGATTGTTATTGTATTGTGCAAAAGAATTTGGGGTAAAAAATGTTGGTGTTCCATCCTGATTTCAGTGACACAATTTTGTTTTTCAAAGAAGTTGCTCTGAACACATACACACATCCAGGTTTGCTTGGTGTTGGACCTGGTTTCCCTCAGTCCATTGTCACTTACCTGGTATACATACATGTATATAACACCAATTCAATATCCACTGTCCACTGCTTGAGCTCATAATGCAATGGTTTATTTAATACTGCAAGTACTTTAGGCAAGGCACAAAAAATGGATGTTGTGTCCGATTTAACATGTTTAAATAAGTTTTCTACATGTTCTCTGTAAATGTACATGTACCAGTATGACATGCAAATATGTGACCTCAACTGTGAAATATGGTTTTGGTTTGCAATTTAAAAACAATAGAGTGCACCTTTAATCGTCTTCACAGTTTGTTTTAAGATGATATTAATTTTAAAAATATTTTTTTTAAAGTATACTTGTTTTTAAATCATATTCAAATTCACAATATTAGAAATAAAAAAGTGATGGATTGCCTTGATTTATTATTTAAAGAAAAATCTGCACACTGGTCATAGGTGACACCTGCATACTGATGTATAGCTGCAGAAATGACAGTGTACTCCTCACACGAACCGTTGCAAGCATGGCCATGGACATTTGCCGCATTTCAAAGAAAAATTAAGATTGATTATTAATATATGTAAATGAAGCTTTGATAACACGCCTCAAGTCATGCGTGCCTGCAGCCACGGATTGGGGTCAACAATTCTGCATATCTACATGTAATACTCATCAATGTCGCCATTGAATTGTAATATTATATGACACCTAAATAAGTAAACCAACATTATTTCAGTTTAAAAATACCATATTGTTGAAGTTGTTTACATGTACCTGAAAGACCAAATCAGACGCTGAATTAGGCTCATGCCAATAATAACCTGTGGTTAGTTATTAATGCCATATCTATTCCACCTGGATATTCCTTTGTAATGGTCCAGTGGATAGATTATTAGTAGTGCTACATGTATATGACCATGATATAACCCCTTAGTCTATTGAATATTTGATGATGTACTGGACAAACCTGGGTAGGAGATGGCAAAAGTTCACACAGCAAGGTGAAGAATGATAGAATAATAGTAAGTTAGCTGGCTTACTGCAAGACCTATATATCCCACTTCCTCGTAAAAAGAAGAAAGCACAAGTAACCAAACAATAATAAACAATAACCTGTTTACAAACGTTATATTTTAAATAGTTCTTAACTCTCCTATGGAAACATGCATTGTCAGTGTGGTTATGCTTGGGTCAATATTGGTCAAGACCCCCATTGGTTTGTACACAGCGTGCCATTTGTGACCACAGGCATTGTGAGGGCCCTCCCCCCCCCCCCCCCCCCCCTCCTGGAAAACGAAAAGAAAAAAAAGAATAAAGAGGGGGAAAATAAAAAATGAAAAAAGAAAGGAAAAAGAGGTGCGAAGCCACTTTGCTGTTAATTTAATGGGGGGGGGGGTTTAGGGCAAATGCTCCCCTGCTCACGCTCGGAAAAATGATAAATTGAGAATGTAATGAAAAAGTTAAGGAATTTTGGGGGCAAAAATTGCTTTGCCCCCTCCCCCCCCCCCTGGAAAAAATCCTGGCGACGCCCATGTTTGTGACCTCTTAAATAGTAGGCATGGTAGGAGGGTTAATCTATTTTCTTCACTATAGTACCGGTACATGGAGAGAGAAACAGTATGTCTTGAATGTTCCCAAGAGAAATATGTCAGATGTGACTCCATCGCCTATACATGGGTCATGGCTTCAAAAGTACAATGTCAAATGACTCAGTGGTAGTCTTGGTAATGTCATTAAAGTTAGTCATTCTTGCCCAAGGTAACAGGTAAAACAGGCTATCGCAGGCTTTTTGGACATGCTCATGTGATACAACAATTCAACAGTCACATGCCTACGTCACATTATGTTCATGTAGTTTTCCCTTTTTTATATTTTTACAACTTTGAAAGAGCAATGCGCACACATATGTACAATGTAAAACAGATGTTGTTGCTATTTAGAAAATAATACGCCCCATAAATTGGCACACTCTTGAAATATGAAACACCTGTAATGGTTTCTTTTTCCAAAAGACTGAAACTTAATCATCCATAAATTTCATACTTTCCAGAAACCGTACAGTAGCCACATCTGTTGAACATTTTATGAGAGTGACTCTTATTTTGTTGTTTTCCACAACATAAGTGTTTTACCATATCCAAAGTGTTCAACTTTGCAACTCGCTTTGCAAGTGTGAAATTGACTGCTCCATAAATCTAGCCTGTTTATTCACATGGGACAACTCTTGGCAGGAAATCTCATAAACTACCAGAACATGTACTTCATTTGTTATTTTCTCAATCCAAGCAATCTGAAAAAAACTCCTTTCACTTTGAATTGTTCATACTGCGGAACCACGAATACAACAACATTTGTCTTGCTTCCAATTTACATGTGAAACATGCTTGATTGTTGACCTGGTGTCTAACACTAGAGGGCTCTGTCACACACGCTTGTGATTGCTGTGGGTCAATTTTTGCACAATAGCCATACATGCAGTGTATACATGTACGTACATGTGCAGCAACCATACAAATGTATACACATTTGTGTACAGCTGCAGTCATTTGTATTGATTGGTTTACATATGAAGGGTAATGTAATTGTCTGATCAGGCGCTTGGTAATCTTTTAATCAATAAATGAAATGCTGTGAAAACCTGTTTTTGTTTTTGTAATTTGCAGGCAACTTCAGCTTGAAACTGGTGAGTGGCATTTCTCCCAACTGCAAGTTGACCAAGTTCCTCTGTTTGGTTCAGACCTTGTCAAGGCATCACTGGCCAAAGCTAAGCATTCACTGACTGATCCAACCACTATCCCTGTTCTGACTGCATCGGACCTCCGATCAGACTCTCGCTCATCCTTGCAAGGGAAGAAACGTAGTGATCCAGGCAAAGGCAGGCATCATAAAGGCCGGCAAGACAGTCGGACATCCTCAGATTACACCACATCCCGGCAGAGCAGTCAACGAAGTGCAAGGTATGACAATTCATCCAGTGGGCCTAATTCCCCAGCTGCTTCCCTGAAAATCTCCTCAAGGGTTTCCTCAAGTCTCACAGGGAACACCTCGCCTTCTGAGGTCTACTCTGAGCCTGAGGATTACCCAAGGGGAGGCGGGAGAAATAAGTGGAAGAAAGTGGCCGCTGTCTCACAGGCTGGTGGGAGATTTTTCAAGAGAAAGGGAGACGGGAAATCAAAAACATCACTCCAACAGACACGGACACATAATCGCAGTAACAGGTACACTATAACACATACTTTATCATCACATCGTCATGCTAATATGATCTCCCAAAACCTCACTACCGCATCATTAACCAGTTTTTCATCAATCGTTCACATGTAATTGCAAATGCATATCTCCCTCCAAAATAATGTGAGCATCACCAGAGATATTTGTGAAGCAGGTTGGCTAATAAAAGTTAACTAATGCTTTTTAAAGATGGTTGAGGTTAACTAAAGCTGTGTCTGATTTCTACGTTTGGCTATAAACTGTTGCTTATGGGCGTTTTACCATTGATCCTATCATGTGACAAACCTGTTCTTGCTCTATGCCTTATGACTGAAACTTCCAATAGCCCTGTTTGATGGTGATATCAAATCACTAGATCAAATATGAGCCAAACAAGCAGAGTATATCTCCATGCACACATCTACATGTGCACATACATGTATGATATTGTAGCGGTATTGCCCTCGGACAACTGCCCGGTTTTTCCTTGGCCAATATCAGCGAACGGACTACCGGGTAGCTACTCCGTTTTGGCAGATCTGTTTTGGCAGAAGTCTACCGCCAGGCCCGAGGCAAACCACCAACACAACACCCTCACACGCTCACTCTCCCCCCCCCCCCCCCCCCCCCCCCCCCCCCCCCAAGCAGACTGACCGGGGGACTGGGGATTGGAACCTGACACCAGATCTCTGATTCGAAAGGTTATTTATTTGCCTACCCAGGCGCCTCGTGGATCCCTCACCTGTACAGGCTACTCGGCTGTATTCCAGCTCTTATGATAAGAATTACTCAACTATTGATTTGGGAATTATAAGAGTGAATTAACTCAATTAATCTAACTCCACAAAGCATGAGGCTCCCCACAGTGACTAGATAATGATTGTCATGAATGGGTTGATCAGGGACTCGGTGGGGCAATGGCTACCCACCACACATGCTGGTATAAAGACTCTCTCTCTATACAGCAGCCACCACGGAAAAGAGAGCGACGCTTAGCGTGTGGGGACTTTTATAGGGCGCGCACTGTGAGCTTGTGCCCCCGCACCCTGTGTGAGAGCACGCGCACACCGCTGGCTACCAGCAAGGGACTGAAGTGTGCCCTCACTGCCACGCTACCCTCACTAAAATGCATTGTGCTACAATATCAGTGGCTTGATCAGTTCCTGCTCTCAGGCTGTATCAAGAACGTACACACTATCCACAGTCTCTGTGTTGGATCCGGGTTATTAGGAAGCACTTTTCACACTTAGCAAGAATCCATATACCGACCCGTGTTCACACTAGTGATAGTGTGAACGGTATGCCTTGCCTACCCATGTTCAGTGTGAACCGGTTACAGGTATGGTGTACCCATGTTGATTTCAACATGGGTAAGCAAGATGATAGAGAAAAGGCCTACGCATACGACTATTGCTATCTGCATGGGTTAAGTCAAGCTTCGGTACTTTCACAATCTTTGTCCTAAAAGCAAACAGTGCTAATCAAGCTATATATTAGATAAGAGTGAAGGTCATGCTACTTTCTAAGAAAAGGGAGAAATTTGGTGTACTATGAAAAAAAGCATTTCCTTTATTTCTTTATCTTCTGGTGATGCCTACATACATGTATGCAGATAATATTGCTCCATACTTTGCAAATTTCAAAACAAAACTCACTATCATGAGGATGAGAAATACATGTACTTCATCACAAAATCATTTTGAATCAAATTTTGCAAATTTCTCACTCCAGATCATTCCTAATCCATTTTAAATTCTCAATTCATTTTGACAATGCAAAATCATTTCCAGATCATTCTTAATCATTTAAAATTGCCAACTCATTCCAAATCATTCAAATTTCACTCATTCTAAATCATTCTAAATTATGATTCAAAATTGCCGACTCGTTACAAATCATTCAACTTCTAACTTTAAAATCTACATGTATAATTTATTTTTAGTCACGTATACATGTACATGTATACCTCTTTTTGTCCGTTGTCAACGCCAATACTCATCATGTTCAGTCAACACCAATACAGAAAATGTATAGGCTGAGAAAAGTTCAATTTACTTTTTGAAGAGACGATTGTCAAATCCAATCCCATCAGCATGTTGTGGGTCAGATGTGAAGTATTGTCCTTGAAAGTGTTTTCTTTCAACATGTTCAACCACCTTGTCTGTGGCAATGATGTGGAACCATCAAATGGAAGTTAACTAAAATTAAATGTTGTTTACAGGTTTTAAAAGCAAAAATAAAGATGTCAGGGCTTTGCTCTGAAGTTTGGCAGGTGGCAGGGAAATAAGTGCTATGATCAATCCTCTATTTGCGATGGGAATTCTCCAATAAATTTGACCAAGCTGTATCCTTCAAAGTACTGGTATAAGCGTCAAATTGCCTTGCTCTGTAACGACAACTGAAAGTGTTTCTGTAGGTACTGTTGGGTGCATACCTACCGTAACCCTAACCATCTAACCCTAACACTAACCATTTCACCTTAATCCTAAGGATTTTGGGGAACATACATGTAGGTATTGGGGAACATCAGGTAAAGCCCAGTACTGTTTGAGCTACCAGACAATAGTTCGTTCATTAGTTAAAAATAAACCTGTTAAAAAGTAGATTGATTTCAGCCACTGTAATACTGAAAGTTTACAGAGTACGTTGAGGTGGTGATAACAATACAAGTAGATAATCCTGTATTTGATTAAACTTAGCTTGGGGGATTTAATGGCTGTGTAGTTCAGGACTATTGGTTTACAGTATGTTGATGTTTGGGCCAGTTATGTAATACATTAGTATTAATAATATGTTGGTATTTCACCAAAGTACCTGTGAACTGTGTATCATGTCATGAACTGCAATATGTTCGGCAGAACTACGGTATGTACTGACACTTCTATACATGTACATGTACATGGCATACTGTGAAAAAAATACTTACTCAATACGATGAGCAATGGAATCTCACAATGGACGATAGTGGATTGGATCTTGTGTGGCATCTGACTGGTCCGTTGCTACCAAGTAAGAATTTGCATGAAATTCCAATATGAGGAGCAGACATTACGTTTTTACCAGACATTAGAGTTCTTACATGTAGGCATTCATGCAGTGACAAGCGTGACTGCTGAGGTTTGATGTCCTCAGACCATTACAGGGTGTCCTGAAAATAATGGTGCGTGTAAACCCGCCATTTTCGCCAATTTACAACCAGAATTTACTGCAAATGTTTACACGATCTTCAAGGTTACAGATTTAGCTTGAGAATACCGTTTGTTTAATTAAGATTGCTGTTTTAAACTTAGAGATATGTTTGAATAACCGCAAAGCCAAAAAAAAATTCTGTGCCACTTTTAGGAAGCGAGTGCTTCAAAGATCAGACAATGCCAGTATGGCTCTGTTGATAAGATTATCCCTATGGATGTAAGACAAACATTCCATTCACTATAGGGTTTTGTTCTTATGTTGAAACAATTTAATAGTACAGACAGGTTCACTTCTGTAAAACTTCAATGCAAGAGTTCAATTAAATATAAATAAATATTGCACACTCTGCTTAATAATGTTAAAATCACTAACAGTAAAGTGATTTGGTTTTAGACTATAGGACTATGCTGATTTTAACTGCTTCACAGAAAGTGGCACAAAATGGGTTTCTTGGCTTTGCCGCTAATCAGACATATCTTTGGATTTACAAAAGCAATCTCAATGAAACAAACGTTATTCTCAAGCTAAATCTATTACCTTGAAGATGGAGTGAATATCCGAATAGACGCCCTGTATACCAAGATTTGAATTTCTCTATACATTGCTTATGTTTTGTTTTGCAGTTTTTTAAGGATAGGAAACATGATGAGAACCACGATATTTGAATAAAACACATCACAACTAATAGTACAGCTAATGAACCGGTCAGGAATTTGGCCATCAGCCATGCCCACCATGCCATAGTATAGTAATGCCATCAGCTCTTGCAGACCTGTAATCGTACTGTAACATTTTACATCATTGTACATGGCACATACAGATTTACCTCTTGTTTATTGGCTGGCTCATTTCATCAAATAGATGAAATATGGTCTAAACTGGAAAACACTGAGGATGGGAAGAATTCCAGTCGAGGGCGCTTTTTTCTTCTTTTGAGAGCCCAGTATACACGAAGTACGCAGGCCTTAATTTATTCTGTATGTGCACAAACCCCTAGCATCCAGAGGTGGCAGCAAGTCATTTTTTGCAAGTCCAAGTCAAGTCACAAGTCACTGTTTGCAAGTCCAAGTCAAGTCACAAGTCATCAGGTCCAGTCACAAGTCAAGTCACAAGTCATTTGGTCTAAACACAAGTCAAGTCACAAGTATCTTTGTCCAAGAACACGTCAAGTTGCACATTATTTTGTCCAGCTGTAATAAGCTAAAAGAACCTGGCATTTGAACTTACAAGTTATTTTGAACATGCCTCCTTAATTCCACTTTTTCAATGTGTTGCAATTACTAGTCTTGTAGTTTATCACATATCTGTCGGATATATTAGCCCTTTGTATACTTTAATAAATTTACTTTACATTGTAGAAATAAATGTTGAGATGACATGAAAAAAAGACTTCACTCACTCGATTACATGTAGTATACTAACACTTTATTGTTCAATTTCATGTATACTAAACGCCTACCAATGGGTTAGGCTATCCGGTATTTTACATGCAATTGACAAAGGCCTGCTTTCTTTTCATGAAAGGTTCCTTTCAAAGTTTGTTCAACCATTACATTTAGCAAGAGACTTGGTCATTGAAAACTGTAGTTTGTTGTGACAGTCTTAGTGAAAACTTTTGAAACTAGTGGGAACTATTCATTTTACTGGATTCAGTCACTGAGATCTATTTTCTGGAATGAAACTTTCTCGCTATAATAGCTTAATTAAAGTGTATTGGGTTGCTCGAGTAGCGTCTGACTTGGGTTGGTAACCATGGTAACAAGTCATTTTTTTGCAATCCCAAGTCAAGTTACAAGTCCAAGTCAAGTCACAAGTC